CTTAATTTTGGATGTAAGTATTCTTAAATATAGATTAGTAATTGAAGCACTGTGATTTTTACATGTAAAATTAAGTTATTGCTTTTTTAATACTGAGAATATTTGTGGGTTAATTTCCAGTTTGCACTGAAGATTTTAAGTTTAAGGTAAAGACCGTCACTGCTGGAAAAAACGTCACCCTGACATGCCCTCGTCAGACCGCTACTCTCTACCAAGAAACTTTGTACTGGATCCGACTGGTTTCTGGAAACTGGCCTGAATTTCTGGGCGCAACATTTAACTTTGAGTTTGATGAAGTTTCAAAGATTCCTTACATTGAGACAAAACAGGACCAAGGAGAATTCCTTCTTCATATTAATGAAGCTCAACAAAATGATACTGGACTTTATTACTGTATTAAAGTCAGACAACTTGACTTCATATTTATGAATGGAACATTTTTAAAGATTAAAGGTAACATTTAAGTTTAAGATAATAGCTACATATTCTTATTCATATCACAGCATTTCTTTGCCTGTTGTGAGGGTGCAACTTTTTTTTTTTCAGGAGATAAATCAGACGTAACTGCTGTTCTTCAGAAGCCTCCATCTGGTCCAGTCTATCCAGAACTTCCAGAGGCTTTACAGTGTTCAGTTCTGTCCAACTCAGAGAGGTCAACATGTCCAGCAGATAACAAAGTGTACTGGGTTCAAAGCTGGGTCAGATGACTCTCATCCTAATCTACTTTATTTACAAGGAAACAGTTTAGATGAATGTGAGAAGATTTCTGAAGCTCCATCGATACAAAAATGTTTCTACAACTTCTCTGAGACTGTAGACCCTGGAACTTATTATTGTGCTGTGGCTGCATGTGGTCAGATATTATTTGGAAATGGAGAAAAACTGGAGGGTATCTAGAGAACCTTTCTAAACAAAATGATTATTAAATAGTTAATGATTCATAGAATTCCAAATTAATCATCCTTCTTTTTTTTTCTTTAAACTTTGTAGGTGCCAATGTACAGGATTTTTCCAAACTTGTCCTTCCATCATTATGCGCGGCTTTGGTGATAAGTCTGGTTGTAATTGCTGGGCTTATTTATAAAATTAAGAAGAAAACCTGTGGTTGTTGCAATGGTAAAGCAAGTTTCAATTTTTTGATTGCCTAAGTAATTATTTATAGGTTTCTGGATTCTTATAATTCAATGTTTGGTCACTCTGCAAACAGATCCTGTGCTGAAGATTGGTGAGAACGTACAGGTAAGGTGACAAAATATTTTTGTACACTATATTTAGTTATGTTTAGTAAAGATTATTCTTAAAGCTTAAATTTATTACATATTCCTTTCAGAAGGATAAAAACACTCTGGTTTATTCTGCCCCTACGTTTAAGAAGAATAAAGCTAATAAAGTGGAAAGAAGAAATGTAAGAACAGCGCAAGAGGAAACGGTCTACACGGATGTTAAAACATTTTATTAGATTTAGTTTAAAATATTGTGGATAATTAAATTTAGTTGTTTTTTTGTTTTTTTTTAATGGACCAAAAGTAAAATCCATAATGTATATATCCAAAACGCTTTTGTAAATCTTACAGTGCATCAGAGATTTTAGAAATAGTAATATAAACAATGTATAATTATTAACTTCTTAAAGGTAGAAGATGGTGTAATCCCTAACTTTTCTACTCGATTTTTGGACGTTTGTGATTCCTTTTTTTTGTTTTTATCTTAATTGTTTTTTTCTTAGTTGCTTTTGAGAAAACAAATCTAAACAAGAAAAAGGTTGGAATAATAAAACCTGCATTAAAGACTTAACTTTTCTTTAAACTACATCGTTGATGTTTTTTAAACAATTTTTATTATGGTAAGAGTTGGTCATTTTAGACTGAATTTGTTGCACAGTTTACAATATTTATGTATCATGCAGGGGTGATCGTTTTATCAAAAAAATATTTCTTTGAACTGATATAGAATTTAGAGAATAGAAATTACCTGTACTGTACCTTATTTGGAACATTTTACACAACCTAGCAGCAAAGTAATTTTTGAGTGGAATGAATGGCAACACGGATAAAAAATATGCAAACAAAAACAATTACTTTCCTGACAATGTCTCTCTCTCAGGGAAAGATGAATCAGTAAACTTTGAGGTTGCAGAGATATTCATTATAGTAATTCCTGTTGTGAGATACTTAATAAATAGTAAACTATAAAATGAGATGCAAAAACAGTATTTATTTTCTTTCAATTTAACTGAGAACGCTTTGCTGTTTATTTAAGCTGAGCCTTAGTTAGTGAAGGCAATTCTCAATCACATAAACACAGTTACAAACGGAGGAAAAGGGAAGTGTGTAAAGCACAAGCATAATTGTTATGCTGTTTTAAAAATAGTGACAGCAGTTTTTACAAAGCTTTCGACTCTTAGAATTTAATATGTGCCTCTGCATTCATTTTCTCCTCAGTATTTTCACTATTAGGCTACATATCTGATTTGAGGAGTCAAATTTCTAACAAAAACACCAAAACACCAAGTTTTCTGTTTATTTATGCTGATTTCAAACCTTTTTGAAAATATTTTTTTTTTTATTGTTTTTTTTTTATTATTGGACTTTTCTGTTGCTTTAATTATTATGCTCAAATTAGCCATCCAATATGTACTTATATTATATGTTATAAATACTTCTTCTTGATGACACTGATTGATTCAATGCTATGATGATAACATACATAATCAGCTGGTATTTCTGTCAGTTCGCTCTGTCCCAACAACACAGGAACAGCTGGAGAAGCACATCAGCAGGGCTCTATAGGTAAATTGGCTGTACAAAGATAGATTGATGTTTGTCATTCTATGTAGAATTGTATCCTGTTTTTCTTTTTTTTTTTTACAGGCAAGACATCTAAAACCTTTCTAGTGTACTTCCACCCTGACCCACACATGTTTGTTTAAAAATATGTTTCAATGTATATAAAAAAATAATACTGTGAATTGTTTTAAATAAATATCTCTAGATTTCTGGTTTGATTTTGAGTTGGTGTTCTGTTTCTGTAAGAATAAAACTAGACGTACGTTTTCATGTAATAACATCCTTTTGTGCGTGGTATCTATCTATCTATCTATATATATATATATATATATATATATATATATATATATATATATATTTTTTTTTTTTTTTTTTTTTTTTTTATTATTTATTTATTTTCTTTTTTTTTATTTCCTGTTTGGCTAATATAGTTCGGGAAATAGATGTCACCGAGCTAGATGATAGTCCAATACCTTTGTTTTCACAAGGAGAATATTATAACTGCTTCCATAAAGTGTATTAATCTTGTGTATTAATCTTCACTGAAAATTATTTAGTGAGTAAAATCATATACGACAGAGACGGAAAGGGATGTCAGAAAGAAAGAGGGGTTAGAAACAGGAAAGAGTGCATGAAAAGAGAGAAAATTAAACCAAACAGCAAAAATAGACAACACAGAAGATATACAGTAATTCCTAGAAGTCTGCTTCCACACCTGTATGAGATGAGAGAAACAGAAATCAGAGAAAATAACAGCAAAAAGAAATCAGCAGACAACCAAAGTAAAACTTAAAAAAAGCTTCAAGAGCAGCAGGTATCCTTTAGATATAAACATGTATCAAAGTCTAAACCTATGGTGATTACGCAATAGTATACAGGGTGGGAAATATATGTGGTTACAGCTTAGTATTTAGTATCAGTGTGTATCTGTGAACACTTGGAAACAAACTCCTGTGTGCATAGGCATGCTCTGCTATAGGCTCAGAATGTAGGACCCAGAATATCTGTGTAGCAGACTTGAGACGAAAGAAAACAAAAAAAACCACAGTTTGAACTCAGAACGCACCACTGTCTGTCTGCAGATTGGTTCTTATTATTGCCAGATTATCTGTCATGATAGGAGGACGTAGAACCCAGAATTCAGGCGAAACAGACAGTCAGACAATTTAAAGCATTTTATGAAAACACAGATTACTGAAGCAGCTGTGGCGGGGCACCACCTATCACTGCAAACTCTGGTTTGAGAAAGACATACTGTAGGTAAGTGACCATGATAATCTGACGGAGGATTACCCAGTTCAGTTCACCTCCATAGAATGCAGTACACTGTAAAAAAAAACGGCCTCATTTTACGGTAAAAAACTGGCAGCTGAGTTGCCAGAAGTTTACCGTCTTTATACGGTAAACTTCTGGCAACCAAAGCTGCCAGTTTCTTACCGTATTTCTAAAATACGGTAAAATTCTGGCAACCACAGCTGCCAGTTTTTTACCGTATTTGCCAAATGCAGGATTTTACCGTATTTTTAATATACGGTAAAATTCTGGCAACCACAGCTGCCAGTTTTTTACCGTATTTGCTAAATGCAGGATTTTACTGTATTTTTAAAATACGGTAAAATTCTGGCAACCACAGCTGCCAGTTTTTTACCGTATTTGCTAAATGCAGGATTTTACCGTATTTTTAACATACGGTAAAATCCTGGCAACCACAGCTGCCAGTTTTTCACCGTATTTTGTAAATGCAGGATTCTACCGTATTTTTAAAATACGGTAAAATACCGTACTTCCTAAAATATTAAAAAAAAAATAAAATGTGGTTTTGCCGTAGTAAATACGGTCATGCTGACTGAGGCATAATATCTCCATGAGTGAAAAACACATCCAGACTGGATGATATATTGACATTTTATTGTAAACCCTCCCCCCCCAAAAAAACTTATGGTAAATTACTGGTCTCTGTTCCTACCAGAATTTTACCATACAAATTATAGTACAACACACAAGGAAGTGTAACTTGTCAAGCATTTCTATACAGAAAGTTATAAAGAAAATAATTTCTAATTAAACAAAAATACAGATTACGAGTAATCCACTTAAAGAAACAATTTCTATTTAAAAAGTCAAGTTAAAAAAAGAACTGATTCTATTTTCTGTCCAGTTTCCTCACGGTATTACTGAGATCTGGAAAACAGAAACAAAACAAACAGTATGTGTCCGCATAAGAGATAACATATTGTAGAAGACAAAATGGTGATAAAAGGATTCTTGTTCTGGGTTGAGAGTCACAAGTCGCTGAGATCAGACGTTGCTCAGGATGGTTGTAGTCTTCCCAGTCACAGGTTGAAATTGAGACTCGCATGTTGTCAATCGGGTGTTTCCTCTCTGCTGGAAAACAAAAAGAAAAAGTTAGAAAGATGCACTACATGAACATCTTATTCGCTTAAATGTTTGTTTCACCTTTGTTGACTTGCATATGGACACAGGTACTTCAACCAGGTGGTGCGATCATTTCTGACTGAAAATTCAGTAGTTAAACCTTTGTTTGTTGTCAACAGGTGTGATCCTCTGGTCTGCAACCAGACAAAATACACAAACAAAAAACAAATAAAAACAAATATAACTGTTTTAGGCAATTTATGAAATAGATACTCACCATTTATCTGAGTCTCATGAAGGCCAATAGGTTGTCTTCAACCATTTATGTAAGTTACATTTCCTGCAAGCTAGCAGAAACAAAGCTGTAAATGTGAACACTTTTCATACAGGCAAACAAATTGATACAGCTGAGACAATTTATGCTAGGTTAGTTTTTCTCAGTCACTTTTGGTGCATTTCTCAAGTCATTGTTGGCATTTACAAAACAGTAAGCGCATTTCCTCAAAACAATTTGTAGAAACAGGAAAAATAGCATTTCTTTGCTTTCAAAATCCTTAGTTCAGCTCTTAAAATTCTGTCTGTTAACATATCAGTGACTCAAAATAATAAGTTATAGTCTCTCTATGTACAGATAAGACAGTCAAATTGATTAGTCATGAGAAGAGACTACAAAAGGATCATTTACGCCAGTGTTTCTCAACCCTGCTCCTCACCACCCCCTGCTCTGCATGTTTTAGATGTGCCTCTACTCCAGAACAGCTGATTCAAATGATTGGATGACAATCAAGTACTGCAGAAGCTTGTTAATCATCCAGAGATACAATTCAGGTGTGTGGCAGAAGGGAAATACCTAAGCCTGCAGGACAGGGTGACGCTGAAGACCAGGATTGAGAAACACTGATTTACGCTTTTGCTATAATTTATTCATGGACCATGCCTTGGTGATTCAGAAAGAAAAAGACAGAAATGCAGAGAACAAAAAAAGTAGAAAAGGAGCCACAGGACAATCTCCTCAAGGAAAACTGTACAGTGCTGTAGAAATTACATTACATTTTAATTTCCATAGTCACTTTGTTCCTTAACTCCACTGAGGATCTTTTTTCCTCAGTGGGGTTAAGGAATGAACAGTAGGGTGGGAGGACCTCCATCAGCGTCATGTTGTGGGTCTCAGCCATGTCCTGATGTTGGACTGATGGAAACTGGCAGATGTCCTCAGCCTCTTCTGACTCTTCTTCTGCTTTCCTCCCAACTATTTCCTCCTCAGCCTCACTCCTCTTCTTCTCTCTGGCTGTTCACTCTGTCCAGATACTTGTTCATCAGTTCTCAGACATGTAACATTGTGTTGTGTTCTGACTATATAGAGCATAATGTTGCCAACTGATGGTTCACAAGATGCACCTCCAATCTGTTTCAGAAAACTGGTTGATCGTTGGTTGAGCTAATGGTTCATACACTGACCTGTTAGAGAAACTCAGGACTCACTTGGGAGCAATTTACCAATTCAGGACAGATTTAGAAAATAATAGAATATAAATTAATTAATATATGATTCACATTATGACAACTTTAAGACTTATGCATGTTAAGACTTGCACAATGAACTGATGCTATTTTGGAAGTTGAGAATTCAACACAGACACGTTGTTGTCCTGTTGTCCTCATTTTTTGTATACACCCTTTATCCTCCGGGTCAAAATGACCCGTCTTCACTAAACCCCCAATATAAGCAGCTTAATTGAATTTTAAACACCATGTCACTCACCACAAAATGTGTGAATACTTGAGTTTTCCCTCTCCACTTTAACTCGTGCCATTGTGAAATATCAATGCAACGTTCATAAGCTGTATGTAACGCAATTTCGTTCTGTATGCACCCTGTGCATACAAAATGACAAATAAAGAAGTCTAAGTCTAAGTCTAAGTCTAAGTCACTTGAATTTCTATAGCTTAAGAAAAAAAATGTGCAGAATGAGTTTCGAATGCATTTTTATTCATCACAGTGACTAATTTTCTTTTACTTTTCTCCAGTGAACAAGAGGATGTACAATACAAAAATATGAAAAATAACATAACCCATTCAACTAATTGGCACATGTAGGGCAGTATGCAAGTGCACAGTCTTTGCAGATATATTTCTTACACCTGCAGCACACAGTATGTGTTTTACAGTCTGAGGGCAGAACTGACATCTCTTCCTCTTACTTGGCTTAGCTGGGGAAGTGGCTGTGGTAGATGGATCCTCAGGTTGATCAGGAGCTGCTGCACTCTGAATAGCTTTCACAACTGCTGCTGAGGCTTCTGTGCGGGGGACATGCTTCCTTCTTTCAATGAGTGGAGTTACAAGTGCCTTTCCTAGCTGCTCCAGGAACACCCTCCTCTTGTTGTGCTTATGAGACATCCAGGTTGGGTTGATCTCTATCCAAATCACAAAGGCATTGTAGGAGGACACATCAATGATGTTGTGGAAGATGACCAGGGGCCAGCGGGCAGTCATTCTTCTGCAGCTGTATGCTCCAATCACCTTATCTAGGTTGTCCACACCTCCTTTGTTTCGGTTGAATTCCAGGATAATGATTGGCTTCCTGTCCTCACGGTCACTAGTGTCGCCGTCTTTGTGCAGTGTGCTCAGAAGAACTACATTCTTGTTTTTCTTTGGGAGGTAGGAAACTAGAGTGGTGGTGGGTGTGAAGGCAAACTTTGAGGAGAAGACCTCTCTCTCCTTTGACCCAAGCAGTGCAGGTGGGAGCTCAGGCTTGTTCTTTCGAACTGTACCAACCATGGTGATCTTCCTCTTCAGGAGCTGCTGTCCGAGTTCATAAGAGTTGAAGAAATTGTCACATGTCACATTGTGACCCCTCAGTCCCTCTGTCACATCAAGCACAACTCGCAACCCCTGGTTCTTCTCTGGGCATCCACTGGTTGACTTCCCAGTATAGACTTGCATTTTCCAAGCATAGCTTGATTCGGAAGCCACCCATGACTTGATCCCATATTTTGCTGGCTTGCTGGGCATATACTGCTGGAAAGGAAAACAACCTTTGGACAAAAGACATTAGCATCAGTGATTAGTATCAGTGTCACAGAAAACAGTCAAAGAAATCAATAGTGAAAATCACTTTTATTACAAATATGAAAACAGATTACCTCTAAATGGAACCAGTTGCTCATCCACTGTTACATCAGGCTCTGGATTGTAGAGGTAGGGTAACCGCTCCACCCACTTGTCCCATACCTCTCTTATGGCTGCAAGTTTGTCTGTCATACATCTTGCTGGTCTTGATTCACGGTCATCAAATCGCATCAGTCTTGAGTAGGTGTGAAAGAGTTTGAGTGGCATTGTGGCTCGGAAAATTGGCCTTCCACTCTCTGCTTACTTCTGCTACTGATTGATCTGAGACACAACTAAAACTTTGTAACATTTTATGGTTTGTAAATAACTCTGTGACCTTGATTTCAACTCCATTTGCCTCACGGGTCATTTTGACCTGAAGACCATCTTTGTACCTTTTTTTGTACAGCTTACATGGAAATGAGACTAAAAGCAACACTGAACTTTTTCTATTGTCTGGGCCAATCTAGGAAAAGTCTTAAAATCTCAAGTTAAAAAAATTACATTTAGGGGATTTTGGGGGGGGGGGGGGTTAACACAGTGGCGGGTCATTTTGACCCGAGGACAACAGGAGGGTTAACATATTTTGATCAAGACGATAAAAGCAAATTACAATTATAAAAGCATAGAAGTGTACATAACCAGCTACATGATGTACAAAAGCAAAACTTGCAAAACTAATTTTTTGATGTGCAGAAGTGACACAGTAATTTGAAGATTGAACAGGTAGTTTTAGGAATTTCAATTCTGTTCTGAGAGATGCACCCAAACTGAGAAAAGCTGTAAAATATTAATATTTAAATTCTCTTATTTTAAAATCCTTCAACTGTCATGGACCCAGTGACTTTAGTGCAAGTATTTTGGGGGTGAGAGTCAAGACGTCAAAGGAAAATATTAAATAATATCTCTGATGCCAAGCTTTATACTTCTAAGTATTACCAAAGTATTGAAACAAAAGCTAACATGTTCTTCAGAGATTTAACTTGCATGCATGAACATTTCACACTCAAAGTAATTCAAATTAATTATTGAACCAAACTTGGAAAAAGTTGCTTCTGCCATTAACAATAACTTTAAGCACATGTAGTCTAAAGTAGACCAGAAATATAATCTATGCAGCCGTTCCTACAGAAACATTAATGGAAGTGTTGCATCTGTGAAGATTAAATGTTCCGTATAGTAAAAATATATAGCTGCAGTGCATATACATAAACAGCATGGCTCAGAAACTACACATTTCTTTGTCAGTTGGTTAAAGTTAGCTAACTTCAGTTAAAACCGTGAAAGGGACTCACCTGTGATGTGTTGCCCTTCTCCTCCTGAACGTGCAAAAATAGCAGAAATTTGATTTCAAAGACAGTAGCAGCATCTTGACAAGGACCAGGCCTACTGGGCTCTCAGCACCCTAGTTAGCAACCTTAGTAAGCACAGTGACTTTACTGTGTTGAGTTCAGGACACCACTACAGGAACAGAGTTAAAAGAATCTTGCTGCTGATGCTGAAGGATCAAGCAGCAATGCAAACTAGATAATTATTTGTTTACATGACAAATAACAGTCTCCATTTACTGTAAACCCTGCTATTTATCACAATAACAAAATGAAAAACTCTCTAGACAAGGGGTCCCCAAACTACAGCCTGTGTCATTTGGTCTGGCAATGCTGGATCCGGCCTGCCTCCTCATACCAGAGAGCATTCAGTGTATTTTTTTCATATATTGTATTTTCTGGTTTGTGGATTTTTCTTCAACCACCAGGGGGCTCTTGAGCAGATGTTAAACTAACTTTCCCTCAAATATATACTAGTCAGTCCCAGTCACCGTTTCACTCACGGTTTTTTCCATTTCCATTCTGGGTAAAAATCTATCTAAAAGCGACCGCGAATGTGTTGTAGTCAGCAATACCCCCCCCCCCCCCGTCGACAGTTTGAAAGACAGAACAGCACCCCCCCCCCCCCCCCCCCCCCCGTCGACAATAAGTTTCTAAGGTATCTTTCTCCAAAAACTAAGACCGGCCCCCAAGCACAGAAAGGAACAGCTATGTGGCCCTCGCAGGAAAAAGTTTGGGGACCCCTGCTCTAGACTATTCTCTACTAATAGCACAATATTTAAAACCAAGTGTGGGATTTGTGAAACTTCAATGATGGGTGACTTTACAACTTGTATGATTTTGGATAACACTAGAATTGTTCTTTATTGAAGTTTCACAAATCAGATAAAGGTTTTACAAACCCCACACTTGGTTTTAAATATTCTGATATGAGTTGAGAATAATCTAGTCCAGATTTGAAGAGTCTAGGTGTTGTAGTTTTTTAGCTAGAGTAAATTAAAGATGCTGATTGTAGTGAAAAATTAGGTGGAATTGCCCTTTAGCCATTTCCCAAATTGGAAGCAGCAATTGGAAACCAACTTCAGCTTCATTCAAGCAAGAGGGGCTAACATACAGTTCTCTTAATGTTAATGATCAAATACTCTCATAAGTGATGGTGGCGTTGGCTGTAGGAGTTTGCTTTGCAATCGGTGGATCGCCAGATCGATGCCTGGTCTACTGCTGAGATTTCAGTTTGGTGTATTAAAGGCATTATTAAAAAAGAAACCAGAATATCACACCAGCATTCTGTTCTTTGTAAAAAATTCTTTTGCAGTCTTGTTTACGCTTTTACATTGTAGATCTAAACATCAGCAAAATTTGTAATTTTGGGTGATTGCTACTGTTAAGTTTAGGGTAATTAACTGCTGGCAATATTACAATTTTTTAAGAACTTTACAATTACTTATATTTTTACACTATATTTCTGTATTTTCTACATTCGTGACTGTCACAATTATTTAGGATATATATTTATTCAGTTATGATAATGCAATGTATTTTCTACGGCAGTATAATGCTGTGAATATTCTGGTCAGTAACTGCTGGCATTTTACAATTTTTTACCGTAAATTTACTGACTTTCTTTGCAGTTTCGACTTACGGTAGTTCCATGTAATTTCTACGGTAATGCAATGTTTTTGGATACGACGGTCAAAAACTGTTGGTCTTTTACCATTTCTTACCGTAAATTTACTGACTTTCTTTGCAGTTTCGACTTACGGTAGTTCCATGTAATTTCTACGGTAATGCAATGTTTTTGGATACGACGGTCAAAAACTGTTGGTCTTTTACCATTTCTTACCGTAAATTTACTGACTTTCTTTGCAGTTTCGACTTACGGTAGTTCCATGTAATTTCTACGGTAATGCAATGTTTTTGGATACGACGGTCAAAAACTGTTGGTCTTTTACCATTTCTTACCGTAAATTTACTGACTTTCTTTGCAGTTTCGACTTACGGTAGTTCCATGTAATTTCTACGGTAATGCAATGTTTTCGGATACGACGGTCAAAAACTGTTGGTTTTTTACCTTTTTTTACCGTAAATTTACTGACTTTTTTTACAGTGTAGGATCCAGTCAGATGCTGCAGTCCCATTGTTTTTTTTCCTGATTTAGTCTACAAAACATTTGTATTATTTTGACTATGAAGAAATGTATTTCAGGTATCATAAATATAGTCAGTCAAGCTCATAAATGTCAAAATGACCACTTAAAATGTATACACATTTCTAAGTGTATAAAACTTAATTCTTACTAGTACCAGTGGCAGCTGGTGAAAAATATTTTTGGTGGGGCTGATATAGCCTAGTGTATGTCTCCAACTAATCCAGAATATGAATTCAAATAAACAATTGGGCAATAAATACAATTTAACATTAATGATTTAATTTACTATATAATAACAGTAACAGTTATAATTTTGTTCACTGTGATGGGGTTCTTTGGCCTCCAAGAATCCAGGCTCAGTCGGGTTACTGGTGTTGGTGATTTATTGTGCTCAAAAACTCAAAACAGGGTGCAAAAGAAACTAAACATATACAAGATACTATAGGCCTCAGCCTCCCTCCAGTTACCAGCAATGTAACAAAGAAACAGAAAACAAAAATGGCCGCTCTTCTTCCCACAGCCCTCATTAAATAGTTTAAGCCTCTCCCCTCAGGCTCTCTTATTTCTGATTTCTTCTCATAAATCAGTTTTGTCCATATATTACCTCCACAAACAATTGATTCACAAAAACAGATGATTTTTACAACTTAATTCCTTTACACAGATTCATTGATTTATTCAATTACATCAAACTTTTAAACATAAAATAAAAAAATAATAATCTGACAAACATTTAGCGAGTCACGTGTTGGTGACGTCACCTCGCATTCCAACAACTCTGGCGTTTTAACCGCTTACTGAGCGTTGCCTCGGGTTTGAACCCAGCAAAGACGATGCCAGACTGAAGATGACAAGACCCCGTAGCATACACACGTACACACACACACGGTTAACCCCACTGAAATATTAAGTGTGCATCCTCAATATGACAGCAGGTAACCAGGAACAGCTTGTGTGTTTTAAGTTAATGGACCGCTGCTGTAGGGCTCAGCGCGAGTGTATTGGTCCTCACAAGCACAGTATAACAGGAATGTGTGTGTGGCACGCAAAGTTAGAGAGGTTGTTTTAAGTGGATTTGTCACAGTCATAATAACCATGACATGAAATTTTCATATCCTACAAGAGGGATGTTCATCTGGCAAACGGGTAGATAAATAAGGATCTCACCAAATTTGGTGGAAGCTGCACCTCACTCGTTACGTTCGCCATCGTCCCTCTAATTGTCTGCACCTGCACATTGGGTGCAGAAGCCTGTTAAAGGGCAGTATTTTCAGCGCCCCAAGACCATAAAATTCTGAGACGTTGATTGGCCATTCAATTATTAAATTGACCTAGCAATAGTACATGATTGGCAGATTCTCTGCACATGTGGGGCAGTCTGATCAGCGCCCCAAGACAGAGACGTAGGAGTCTGTCTGTGGAAATCCACAAATGAA